TCTACCACGGTGCCGTGTAATTTCTCCCTGGCCCTGTCTGCATCAGCACTATTCTCGAAAGTTACGAACCCGAATCCCTGCATGCAGCGGGAGAAGGGGGGAAAACATGCACATCGTTATATATTGAAATACTGATCTCTAGGTAAATAGAGAAAAAATATCACAGTATGAAATCGACATCAGCACAACTCAGCAATAACCTCCTAGAGTCACATTGTTGGTTCATGCATGTTTCATAAATGAAAGAAATTAAGTTCAATAAAATAAAGGAACTGTAATTATAAGAATAATAAAAGTAATTATAAAAAAAAGAAAACATAAAAGCAATTGAGGCCAGACCAAAAAAGAAGTACAAAGTTACTCGAGACAATTTTTGTTTGTTTCTTTGTTTAAAAGCACAAAACCCTGCTCCAACATAGGGAAGCTGGTCAAGCCCAAGCGGGGCTTCTCTCCCCTTTGCTAATTAACACACATGCTTTGCAGGAACCCCCTCCCATCCCAGACACAGTACAGGACATTGACACTGAGCAGCATTTCATTCTCTTGAGGAACTGCTACGAGCGCAAGCAGCCATCTGAGGTCATGCCTGGCACCAGGAATTCTGCGAAGCTTTGGGCTAATCAAACACTGAACCTTGCTTTTCCCCACCTGTAAAATGGAGACAATAATAATCACCTACCTTAGAAAACTGCTGAGAGGAAGGCCTGTTTGTAAAGCATCCCTTGTAAGCTCTTCAGGGCACAGCTGATGTCTACTCCTACGCCTGTAACTTCCCTAATAACGCATGGGGCCCTGAAAGTAAGCAGGGCTTCTAGGTGGCACCATCAAATAAACATTATTTAACATGAAGATTTAGAGTATCATGTATTCTAGTTTCAAAAATTTCCTATCAATGAGTACTGTGTTGGACTTGAGTGTAAATCTAAACACCTAAATACCACTTCATCAGTAAAGGCAGGTTTTCTCTGACACTGCAGACCTACTGCCACCTCCCTCCCACCCTGCTACCCATCGTCCTTGGCTTTGTTCTGAGATGGCAATCTCTGTGCCATGGCCAGTAACAAACCTCTGCCTATCTAGACCGTGAAGTCTGAGAAAAAATTGACATGTCCTGCTTGGAGCAACCACAAAGGTTCGAGGACTACTAAAATGTCCCTTTAGTTAGCCGAGTTCAGGTTTACTGCATCCATGAAGGCACATGCAACATGCCTGTCCTACATGCTCATGCTGCTGCCAGCTCATGCAGTCACATAACAGAGCAGGGTCAGAGATCATGCTTCCTTCCACAGAGATGAGTGCACTGACATTAAAACAGAGCTAATGCGACTAAGTGAATTAGGATTTTTAACTAGTAACAAATAGTATCGTACTACAGACAACTGTGATAAGATATTCTTCATACCATTACAGAGCACAGGGCCAAATAAAAAACTTTGTTACATTCTGGTTTCAGGGTATCTTAAGAACAGGAGTAACTGGCTCCTGTGGCTTGGTATAAAGCAAATACTGGTTTAACACACAGAGAGTAATCTCTCTGGCTCTGATACCCTCAGGAGCAGGAAGAACAAAGCCTGCATTTGATGCAATGGAAACTCCCAATATTAACTGGAGAGCAAGGTGATGTGAGTGATCTACAGCTACGCCTTGTCAGGGAAATGGCATGCTAGCCTCACAGCCCCCTCCATGCAGCTTGGGGTCGATATGTATGGAGTGGTCCCCCCATTCTCCCCACCCCCCCAAAAAAAGCGCATCTTGATTTCTAAGCACTGTTAGCAACAAGACACAAGCAAGCTATTGTTCTTCAGGTGCTTTTTAAAGGTCTTTACAATACTAATCTTAAAAAGCACAAGCCGTTTGCACATGCTGGCCTTTACCATCCACAGCTAGGTTTCCAACACGAAACTGTTACACATTTGTAAAATGCAGGTTTGTTTTTTTTTGCTTTACTTTTTTTCCCCTGAACAGCAATAAAGGAACTTAGCCAAGTACTGCAATGCTGAGATCAACGAGAACGCTCCTTTGGGCTGCAACCTAATAATCTAAAGCTTCAGATAATTTCATTTCTCCAGCTATAAATAAAAAGCCATATAAATAACAATATGATGCTTTTTTTCAGAACAGCATATAAGTTTTCTATTTAAATTAATTAAAACTGGAGCTACAAGAGATTTGGGCTAATAAAACAGCCGAACCGCACAGAACTCTCAAATATGTTGCAGGGAACTGGGGCGGGGGAAGGAGAGGGGAGCGTGCAGGGAATGTAATAGCAAAGCTGATTATGAAGGGACAGGGTATCATGTCTGCTTCAAAGAACCCCTACAGAGAAAGGCAAGACTGGGAAACAGAGCAACACCTTTCCCTCTGGTTCTATATAATGGGGAAAAAAGCATCTTTAAAAGGCTGGGGGAGGAGGGGAGGTAAAGACTGCAACAGGAATCTCTATTTCCCTCTTTTCTTTCTACATTAAAATTTCTGTTTGTTCTAGACAAGCCTGTGGAGACCAAATGAAATTTATGTCTTCGGTGATGATGTGAACTGAAAGCTGAGAGCAGAGGGAAGGTAATTTTTTAGGCATTAATCTGTGCAGGCTAGAACCAAACTAAGACTATTTTAATTCACATTTGTTTGCAATTAGCAAACTCTGTACAGGACTTTAAAAACCACATTATCATTAAGTATCTTGAGACTGATTAGGAATTTTCAATATTTCTAGTAAGTTAACTCAAGGTAGGGTACAAATCCACACCCAGACTCTATGAAAGTAATTAACAATCTGAATTAAAACAGAATTCATCTGAATCTGAACAACATAACTAATTAATCACAATTTTTGTTTTATTGACAGACCAGTCCTTAGCTTGTGCAACTTGCTTTGCTGAGAACCATTTAATGTCAATGCTGAATTAACACTTTACATAGTTGACTATGGCAGAGTCTGTATTTGTGCCCCTTAGTTTGTCTTCTTAATGTATCTCTTAGACATCCAAATTTTCATCAGAAAAAACAGGTGAGCCGTGCTTGACATTTTTGTTATTTCTAAATTTAAACACTAGCAATTACATACACATATTTTTGATGTGGGAGAGAAAAAAAGCACATACATATAATTTTAATTCCTTCTCACAGATGACCTGTAAAGAATAGGGATTAATTTGTACCTAAATACATATATAATAAACAATTCTCAGTTTTCCCTCCCAAGGTTGTCTTGCCCTTGGGAAAAAAAAAAGAGAAAAAAAAAAGATGAAGAAGAAAAAAGAGGTGGCAGATGTCCAATATTTACTGGCTTAGCTTTATAGCAGTTACTGGCTAGCTCCATAGTAATAGGTATGGAGCCAGACGAAGGGAAGACGCAATATTGGGTAAAAAAAGACTTAAGGATGCTAAAATTTAGACTATACAATTAGCTTGCGTTTTTAGTAAGGCTGGAACTTTCACCAACTCCTCTCCACCAGCAACTGCGAGGCACTCCTCCCAAGCAGAAGATAAGTTTAAGCCTCAGTGTACCCACAGTGAACACTAAATAACCCCAGCAAACATTTTTAGGACTGGTGAGTAACTTGCAGTGCCAAACTAACCCCCTTTTACCCAAAGGTTTATTCAAAGGGCCTGAAGAGACCGAGTAACTGCCACCCTTTTAGTCTGGCCTCAGACTCTGCAATAAATAACAAGCAACATGATGAGCAGTGGAAAAAAAAATGTATATATATAGTATTTGAACGTTTCCATCTCTGAAGAATGAGAAAGAAAATTTACCATGTAACCGTAAAGGGAGAAATCAAAAGCAGACGGTTCTCCTGGGTGTGGCCAGAACACAGAAATTAAACAAAAAACAACAAAAAATAAAGTAAAATAAAATAAAAAAAATAAAACCAAAGGAAACTAAACAGAGCCCCTTGAAATCCATGCATTGTTAACCCTTCATTTGTCACAAGAGTTTAGACCAGTCACCTCAGCAGCAGCGTCTTTGCCTTGTACCACTGGAGCATGCAGCCAGCAACTGGCCTTGCCGTCACCTGCTGCTGTGCTCATTTTTAACCAAGGTTTTTTGGTTTGGTTTTTTTTTTTTTTTCCCTTATTTCCATAACAAACAAACTTTTAGGAGACTGAAAAAATGGCCAAGGAGACAGCAGTTTAGGCTACCTGTTTCCAAGGCATTTGGAGAGAGTAGGAGGGTTTCAGCTATAATCCACCTGAGATGAGCAGGACTGAATGCACTGCCAGAAACACAGCACAAAATTCAGAAACACATTACTGAAGTTACACACACAACTGTACACTTTAAATTGGTGAGGGAATTGGTGTAAACCAAGCTGCCACCATTTCAGCAGCTCTTCCAGCTCTCCCCTGACCCTGTGCTGCATTTTGAGTGCATTAAGGCACATACGCATAAAGCACCTGTATGTGTACCTGTGCAATCAGGAATTAATCTGGCTAAAAACCCATAAATGTATCCTCAAAAAAACCTGCAGGGCTATTTTTAAGGTGGATCATTTCTCCAGTCCAGCTTGTTCTGTTGCTCCACTGCCAATCCCTCCTGCAAAACCGAGGAGGGGGCAGAGGTCAGGAGTGGACGGCAGGAGCGTGGCCAGCACTGCTGCGCAGCAAGAGCTTGGGGCTTCAGAGGAGCCCCGGCCAGCCCAGGCCAGGCAAGATCGCATTGTCCCCAGCTGTGGGCTCCTCATCTTCCCCTCGACTGATCATGGATCTTACTGTGTGGTCTGTGAGTTAACTAGCTAAACTGGCAGAAGACAAGCTCATTTTTTTTTTTTTCTCTTTCTCTCCCCCTGATGCATCAGTTTTTTGCTAATTTAGCATCCTGGATTCAACTCCCTACACAGTGAAATGAGCACTACCGGGGAGGTGTTCCCACAGGAGCAGTAAATCAGTTTATACTATAAAGCCATCAACTTCAGCCTTAATTATCAAGTCTAAATAAACCAGTTCAGTATATAGACTAATTTAACTCGTTAGTTCAGTATCACTGAAGGCATAAATCTGTCCTCCACTGAACTAGGATAAAGGGACAGAGGTCATGTCTCCTTCATGCCACTAGCATTATAAAGGGATTTGGTGACCTGAGAAAGCGACACTGGTTGCTGGTACTTAATTTGTTATTAAGCCTCTTTGTGTTAGTAACATGATTTGTATTTCTGGCTCAGCTGATGACATCTGAACAAAAATTATGAAAATAGAATTAAAATGAAAACAAGACCTCTAATGTATTTTATGTAACAAGGGGTTGCATCTGTTTCACTGAGTGGAAACTAAGTCCAGAGCAAGAGTGACTCAACTCAAACCACCTAATCCATTCATAGAAGAAATAAATGCAAACATACAGTCTTTTAGCCACCTAAATTCAAATTCTTATCTTAACCTACAGGTAACTGCAAATATAAAAAACCTTGAGTGTTTCCACACAGCTTTCTGCCCCAGTTTTTAGTTAGCACAGGTTTACTTACAGAGGGGAAGGCAGCAAGGGACGTAAACTTGTGCTATCCTGAAACCACAATCTTGCAATCTGCACTAATATGAACTCTTACCATTTAAAAATCTAAAAAAAAAACCAAAAACAAAAACAAAAACCAAAAAAAACCACCTCCCTCTTCAGCCAAGATTTTGCTGTGTGCTTACGCACTCTTGATCTTTGAATATCATCGAGGGCACACCTTGGAATGCCACACAGTACGCAGCTGATGAGCAAAGAGCTTGGATTCCCTTCCCCTGCAGCTTTATGACTGCCACAGGGTACTCGTTACACAGGCAGACTGCATTAATTCTGCAAATATGTCCCTTTGTTCG